CGAAAAAATATCCTTTAAAAAAAAAGTGCTAAAGTGCTATCGTTTCCTCTCCTTTTCTACACCCCACCCCTCAAACGATAAAAAAAACTTTCACTCTCCACCCACCACCACCCACCCCCACCCCACTCCCCAATAAAATAAAACAAGACGATAATAAAAATAAAGTAAAAATACACTCCTTCCCTCCCTCCTCCTCTTTACCCTACCCTTCCCCTCACTCCCCCCCCACTCCGCCCCTCGCCCACCCACCCCACCCCTCCACCCACCCTCCTCCTCGTGGTAGTAGTAGTACCAATCTCCAAAACCTCTGTGCGTAATTAATGAATGGGTCGCTTCGTCGCTTCGCCATTCATCAGTGAGAGAGATAGAGGGGGGGGAAGGGTAAGGAGAGGGGTGGGCGGGGTATTGGAGGGGTTGTGTGGGCGGGTATTGGGAGGGGAGGGGGTGGGCGGGGACGGCATAGGGTAAGGGTGGGAGGGTGTGTGTGGGGGTTGGGGGAGGGAGGGAGAAAAGGTCTGGGGAGGGGAAGGAGGGGAGAAGGGTCTGGGGAGGGAGGAGGGGGAGAAGGGTGGGGGAGGTGAGATGAGGACGGGGAGGGGAAGGAGATAAGAGGGAGGAGAGGATAGAAAGAGAAGGCGAAGGAGAAATAAGGGAGGGAGAAGAAGGAAGGTGAGGAGGAGAGAGGAAAGGAAAGGGAAAGACGGAAGGCGAGGAGGAATAGAGAGAGGAAAGGGGAAGAGGGGAAAAGAAGGAAGACAAAAAGGAAAAGAAAGAGAAGAGGGAAGGATGGAAGGCGAGGGAAAGAAATAAAGCGATGGAGAGGGAGAGACAGAAAGGGAAATGGATAGCAGAATGAATAGGGTAGATAGAGGCTACAAAAGTCGGGAGGGGGGGGGTAGGTAGGTGGGAGAACAGAATAAAGTAAGGAAGGAGCGAGATGAGGAAGTAAACGAGAGGACAGGAGGACAAAGGGTTGAATTCACACTTCGCTTACACGGGTTCCATAAGCTTTTCCAATGAGCTTTTATCTTCCCAAGCTTCTAGGGATTTTTTTTTATCGAAGGAAAGTCGTTAATTAATGCGCGTTCAAAAGAAAAAGAAAGAGAGAAAAAAAACAACAACAACATATGTCTGGCTACTTCGATAGCACGATCTTAATTGGCTTCCTCGATCGATTTTATTTTTTTCGGGATAACTTTTGTGAATCTGGATCTCTCACATTCTGTTTCCCCTTCTTCCAGCTCTTATTGAATAACTGTCTGTCTGTCTCTCGGTCAGTCAGTCAGTCAGATCCAGTCTCCCCCCCTTCTCTCTTTCATTGCGTTGTCTTTTTTTATCCATTTTTCGGTTTCTGGTCTCTCTCTCTCTCTCTCTCGGTGTCTGTCTTTCTCTCTTGGTGTCTCTTTCTCTCTCTCTCGAAGTCTCTTTCTCTCTCTCTCTCGTGTCTGTCTTTCTCTTTCTCTCTCTTCTCTCGTCTGTCTTCTCTTCTCTCTCTCTCGGTGTCTGCCTTCTCTCTCTCTCTGTCTCTGTCTCTCTCTCGGTGTCTCTTCTCTCTCTCGGTCTTCTCTGTTCTTTCCTCTCTCTCTGTCTCTCAGTGTATGTCTTTTTCTTTCTCTGTCTCTCTTTCTCTTACACACAAACATGCAACATCAAAAAGGAATTAGACGCACACAAAATGTCCTCTCCAATACTACTCCACGTCTCCCACACATTATGATCGGTTACACAAATATGACCTGATTCACGATTTCTTGGCCCGTTTTCCCTTCTCCTCCGGACCTCGGGTATGTTTTTATAAATTTAGCTTCATTCTCTATTGCTTTCGTTCTTTTTGTGTGTGTTAGGACTGAATTTCACGAGTTCAATAACTAGTCGGTTTGCTCGTGGGTATTAGCCAGCAGTTTGATTAATTGACAGAGTGAAAAAAGAGAGAGGGAGAAAAAAAAAATATACGAAAATCAACAGTTGGCAATGATCGCATCTGTCGGATTATTTGTAGGCAAAGATAAACAACGCCGTGTTTATTTCGTTCGTTTTACTTTAAATAGGATACGAACAGTAGTTTGTTTTCCTTCCAAATGAATTTTTGATGAGCCAATTCATAAGCGCTGTTGATTTTAGTTATATATATTTGTTCAATGCGAAACATACGGCTGTATCTTGCTGACAAAAGGACGCTTTTGTGGACCTGTTCCACGGTGGGCGGAGCATGATACGTACATACGAATACACGTATATAGATATTTGAATACACACACATACACATACACACACCCACACACACCCACACACACACATACATACACACGCACACACACACACACACAACATACACACTCACACACACACACATCTATCTATATCTATCTATCTATCTATCTATCTATATCTATCTATCTATCTATCTATCTATCTATCTATCTATCTATCTATCTAATCTATCTATCTATCTATTTATCTATTTTTTTCCATTTTCATTTTCATATTTTTTCCGTTTATTATTTTTTCAAGTTAATGGTTTATAAAGATGACGGATAATGATGGTAATTACAGATGGCAAGTATGATGATTTTTGTTGAAAATAATGATGATAACTGATAATCTTAATAATGACAGTGGCTTTAATATCAAATAATTGATTTTTTTTAAGATGTGGTGAATGGTTTAATAGAAATAATGATATTACTATTCTGTTACGGATATTGATAATGGTAAAAATAAAGGAAAGAAAAAAACTATAAAAAAAAGAGAGAGAAAAATGAAAAAATAAGAGAAATGAATATTAATTGGAACGATTTTCCAACTTTGAAAAACAAAAAGAAAAACCAAAAAGAAAATGAAGAGAAAAACAAAGGAGAAAAGAGAAAAAACAAAACAAGAAAAAAAAATTTACAAATCAAAACAAGGAAAAATAAAACCTATTTCCCCACACACCGATTTCACAGGACAAAACAACAACAAAAACAAAAACAACAGCAGCAACAGCCAGCAACACAACCAACAACACAAACAACGACAAGCAACACAGCACGGAGGACCACCAAAAACAACCAGGAACAACAACCAACGTACAACAACAAACCAACCACCACAACAGGCCACAGACACAACCAACAACAACAACAGGACACAACAACAAGCAACACCAATCACCAACCACCACACAACAACACTACCACCCAACACCACCACCACTACCAAACAAAACAACAACACACACAACAACAAACACCAGCATCAGATAAAGGAGGCACGAGAGCAGCGCACAATTGGTGGTTTGTAATGGCACTCATATCCAGAGGGAAAGGGACTTGACTTCTGTCGTTTGGCACAACTTTCGCCCCAAGTGTCTATCGCCTTCGCTCGCCCTCATGTTGCAGATTTGCAGGATTGCCTTGCAGGATTTTTTTTCCTGAAGGATTTGCAATATGGGTTGATCTGTATTTTGGTTTGATTTTGTTATATGTTTATTATTTTAATATTTATTTATTATTGTCATTGTATTATTAGTTTATATTTATAGTTAATTATTATATTATTATTATTTATTATTATTATTATCATTCTTTTTATCTAGTCTTTTTTTTTGGGGGGTGTTTTTTCACCGTTTTCTTTCTCTAATTTCAATTAAATTTTTGTTCTATTTTTGTTTTTTTTTCCTGTTTGCTTTCGCTTTTTATTTTAAATTTCTTTTTTTAATTTGCTTTCCTATTTGGGACTGTTTTTATTTATTACCAT